GAGGACACTTTTTTAATTGGCTCAAAGAGAGAAGTGGCCCATCTTGTTATGTACTATCATTGGTTATAGTAGAGGTTTTACGGCGCTCGCAACTGCATAAGGTCATATATGAGCGCTAGAAGATTAGAGGTGTTACAAGAGAGTAACAAACATAAAAAAGAAGAAGGGGAGATAAGGACGATAATACTGTCTACATAGGCACATATTATGTTTATTTCTTCAGAATGAAAGTTCACATACCATGATATAGTTTTAATTAATCGCAAATAGCTGCTCAGTTTCGAACGATTTTCTTTTGCTGAAGAAAAGAAAATGTTGCAGCTTTGGGGTAAAATCGTGGTCTGGTCTAAGGACAATTTGAGGCAAGGTCCCCTCGTCCATTTACCTTTTGTCGATTTGATGAAGGGACGCCTAAAAAGATTGTATACCCCGAGATTGGTTTCTCCTTTTCTTTAGATACTGAGCAAGACCTTGAAATTAAGGTGGGAACTCTGCTTTAGGTGCTATTTTCAGTGAGTGACACATCTTGGCTGCAAAACGTAGGGACAAAGACGGTTCTATGAGAGCTTCTAAATCTAATTCGAGAAAGCAACCCCCCTCCCCCTTGCTCCCCATGTAACATTTTTGTTAGAGTAAGTGATACAATGTGAATTTTTTAGAACGTTTTCTATATCATCATACCATAAAAAGTGAGATCCAACCTTACTATGGTGTTATGTCTTAGATATTAATACGACATCCAATTGGTGAATGTTTTCTCTTTTCTTACTGTCTGACGTTATCTTTGTCCCAGGTCTTCAGATAAAAGGTGGCAGGAACAACACTGAAGACCAAGCAATCCGGATACACACCGTTGTGAAGGGTGGGGCTGCCTCGGATGACAGAGCACTGCAGGTCAGTATCTTTTGAAAAAATAAATCTTAGTAAAAAAAAAAAAAACAAGTAAAAAAACAAAACAAGAAAAAGAAAGGCCATATTTCAACTATTTGTCGACTTTGTAGGAATCTAGATTGCAGGCCAAGTTGCAGGAAATTGTGTCTTTAGCAACTATTTAGTATTTAGGCACATGTACTTTTTGTTTTGAAAGTGGCGTATTCCAGTTGATTTTGTAGCCCTTTATCAGGCTAACTTGGCCAGATTCGTTTTAGCCTTTAGGTGTTCATTATGAGACAATTATAGGGACAGCTTTACCACCTGTCTTCTTTTGAGGTACCTTAGCCAAACTCGTAAATTCCAGAGGTCACATTAGAGTGAGACACTTTTAGAAGAAGAAGAAGAAGAAGAAGAAGAAGAAGAAGAAGAAGAAGAAGAAGAAGAAGAAGAAGAAGAAAAAAGAAGAAGAATGCTATTAACGTAGGTCTACTTCTCCATCATTTGCGATCTTCATCTAGGCTCTTCCAAAGAGTTGTACTTTTGTCAGTTACAACCTTATTAACTTTAATAACCACAGTTCGAAATCCTGCCAATAAAAGACCTAAACCATTACGACTACTCATTTTGACATGGTAAAAGTAAAGTTAAACCCCCCGTTTCCAACGTCTTAACTTAAAGCACAATACCTGGGATCACCATGGGGTTACAGCGGGGTTGTTTGCTCTTGCGTCATACAGAAACATGACAAGGTGGGCTCTGATCGGCGTCATTTGTGAAGATTGGGGGAGGGGGGGGGGGATTTGCAGGGGGTGGGGGGATGGGGGGCGCTTTGCTTTTGTCTGTTTACCGACACGAAGTCAAACGTGTGGGTGGTTGGTGGGTGCTCTGGTGTGGTTTGTTGCTTGCTTCTTCGCTGTCAAGCATTTATTGTCCCTATCTCTCCTCCTTTTCTTTGTATGTTACTCTTTAGTAACACCTCTAATCTTCAGCACTTATGAAACCGGTTTGTGTTACAAGTGCTGCAAAACTTTTACTAAAATTAAAAAATTAGAACTAAAGAAGACAAGCGTTTTCTCTTCTCTCCCCTCCCCCCTCCCGGGGCAGTGCCACTGCCTGAAGTGTCTTTAGGCCATTCCAATAGGGGGGGGGGGGTTCTCCTTCTAGTGCACAGTAGAATTGTAAATGGGCCGACCCAACAATGTCATGCTCATAACTGTGCTTGAACTACAACAGGGAACTGCTGCTCTTTCTTTCCTAATACTCACAATCGTCATTTTCCTCTTCTTCTTTTGTATGTTTGTCACACTCTTGTGACCCGCTATTTCCGGGGTGCCTTGATAGTCGAAGCAGACTTTGTGCTGTTGAAGCTAAAGAGGTGAGCAGAGTAAGTCTGATTCCCTGTAAGGACTTCTCTGTTGACATCCACCCCTTGGCGCTCATATAACCGTATGCAGTTGAGAGCCCTGTAAAACCTGTACTATTTTCGTTTTAGTAGAGGTTTTACGGTGCTCGCAACTGCATAAGGTCATTTGAGCGCCAGAAGATTAGAGGTGTTACAAGAGAGTAACAAACATAAAAAAGAAGAAGGGGAGATAAAGACGATAGATGTTTCATAGGAAAAAAGAAGTAAACCACACCAGAGCACCCGCCAACCACCCACAACCTCTATTATAAAACAAAACCTTCTCTCCCCAGCCTGGCAAAGAGATCACTCACGTCGACGGAAAATCCTTACTCGGCCTGAGCTGTGATGAGGCAGAGTCAATATTGCAGCTGTCCTTCAGCATCAAGACCCCAGTCAACATGGAGCTGAGACTTCGGCGCTCATGAGAAACTGCAGCTAGAGAGCATAATAATCCATAGATTTGTATTGTGATGTCTGAGACTGGGCACTATTGTTGACGTAATTCGGTTCACCTTGGAGTGCACTGTTTGGAACCAAGTGAAGGCAAAGAGAGTACATAACAAGACAGTCCACTCAGCCAAAAAAGTGTCCGCCGGAAGTCCGCTCTTTGCTTCAGATGGCGCCACCGAATTTTGAGGACACTTTTTTGATTGGCTCGAAGAGAGGAGTGGACCCTCTTGTTATGTAGACTCTTTGGTGAAGGGTAAAGAGGGAAAAGTTGCGAACATACTCGACTACAGCGAGACGAGTGGTTTTGGCTTCCCTTTGCATGTATGTCCACTGTTTCTTATACAGACTTCAACAAAAGTTAAGGACCACTTTGGCAGACAGTCCTAATTTGTTTTAATATCCGAAAAAAAAAGACAGTAAGAAATGTTTCAAAAGTTTTTGCTCTGAAAGTGTTAATGGGTTACCAATGCGTACTGCAATGCTTCCTAAAGGAACAAAACCACCACGTGCAGCACGGAAATCCTCGGTGAATTGTAGCCAAATTTACTGGGGGGGGGGGGGGGTCGATTTGTGTGCGACACCAAGGACTTTCCGCAGTTAAAATTTCTGGTGCGTGCGGTCTCGAACTGTGCTCACTTTGGGGGCAGTATATAAGCCACCGTTTGCGCAAAATCCGGTATCGCACCAACATACCACCAAGACTAAAGCTGAGAGACTTTGATAGTGCCAGAGCTATAGCATGGCTGGAAGATGGAGTTGGGAGTCCGAAAAGTAGCCAGAAGGCTTGCAGTGTCTCACTCTGTCATCGTCCGCCTGAGACAGTGCCATCAAACCACTGGATCAGTCCAAGAACGCCCACGTGCAGGTCGACCCAAGAAGACCACTCAGGGTGTTTGCAAGAGGTCCTTAGCTTTTGTTGAAGTTTGTACTTATAGAGAGAGAGCAAAGAGTGGTGACCACGAAAGCGCCCGGTATAGGATGTTGTAATTCAAGTCTGGGGTTTAAGTATCACCAAGCGATAAAATGGTTCTCAGACCTTTTCAAGAATACCTTCTCGTGGGTCTTTCTTCAGACGAGAGAGTTACCTAAAAAGCCAAAAAGGCTATATTAAAGACTTTGTGGCAGTGATGTCGCCCACGAAAACGAACGGGGGCTGCGTGGGACGCTGAATCTCAAGGGCAAGACATGCGCAGTTGAGCAGACGAGTGAGTACTTTTCGAGACTCATGTGGGGGCTTCTCGGTGGTCTAAGGCTGAAATTATACTGCCACACACAACTGAAGTACGCCGTGACAAAAGTCGTGCTCTCCTCTTTATTTCATATCGGTGATTTCCCTGACACGACTAGACTTTTTACACGGTCGGACTGAGTAGCGCTGCCCTCTGGGACACCACTTCTGACCTTGCAGCTCGTCCGTATCGCGGCGCACTTCAGTTGTGCGGTGCAGTACATTTTCAGCCCTCGGAGACAATCTACTTGCTAGCACCAAAGATTCTCTACTATCTTTGTTTGCACTGAAATATGGGTTCTAGGCGGTGTTATATTACTAGAGCTCGCGGGGAGCAGGGTAGGAACCCGATTGTTAATGTAAGTGGGGGGAGGGGGGGGGGGCGCCGGCCATGCCTATGAGGGTGAGAAGGCCCCCATGTCTGACACGTGTGACGTAATTGCCGCGAGCTCTTGTATTATATATAAAACCTCTTTGCTCGAAAGCACTGACAGGGTGGTCCACACATGTTCTTATATGGGAGGAAGGAAATCAGTGCGTAACTGCAAAGACTGTTTCACAGTTCATAACGACATGACATACATAATTTTGTTTTCGTTCACACGATGACATAGACTATGACCTCTAATCCACACACTTCCAAAATGTTTTTTAAAAGGGAGAAATTATTCCTGCTTGTACCAGAAGACAATTCTTGAAGCACTCTATTTGTTGTTTTAGTAAAGGTTTTACGGCGCTTGCAACTGCATAAGGTCATATGAGCGCCAAGGGGTGGATGCCAACAGAGAAGCCATTACAGGGAATCAGACTTACTCTGCTCACCTCTCTTGCTTCAACAGCACAAAGTCTGCCTAGACTATCAAGGCACCCCAGATATAGCGGGTCACAAGAGTATGACAAACAGAAAGAAGTAGATCTAGTTCTAGAGGGAAAATGACGATAGTTAGGATTAGGAAAGAAAAAGCAGCAGTTCCCTGTTGATGTTCAGGCACAGTTATGAGCATGACATTGCTGAATCAGCCCATTTACAATTACATTTCTACTGTGCATAAGAATATGGCTATTGTCCCCCCCTTTGGGAATGGCTCAAAGACACTTCAGTCTGTAGGCCTAGCACCTCCTCGGGGGGTAAGCACTTTGTAGTTTGCATATACAACATTCAAGAGCGAAAACAAAAATCTGTAGGCCCTATGAAAAAAAGAAAAACAACTCCTTAGCAATGCAGTCCCGCATGAAGTACTTCCTTTGCAATATTTATCACTATCTTATTATCATGATTATTGTTATCATTATCATCATCATTATTATTACTATCATTGTTATTATTATTATTATTATTATTATTATTATTATTATTATTATTTATTATTCATTATTATTATTACTATTATTATCATTGTTGTTATTGTTGTTGTTGGTATCATCATCGTTATCGTTATTTTTATTATTACCATTATTATTATCATTTAATGTTGTTAACATTATTATTATTATCACCATGTATAGAGTAACATTCCCCTCTGCATCATCTGTGATGCTTAATCCTATTTATCGAAATGTATCGTTCATTACAAAGTTTCCAATCCATAGTGTCCGTTGCCTATACATCTATATAGATAATATATCATGTAACAACTAAACATAATGTAACAAACTGTAATAATGTAACATTTACTGATAAAACATTTAATGTTGGCGAACACAATGCATATCATGACATACACATTTTACCTTACTTTGAAAGCCTCACCAAAGACGAGATGCCATATTTGAGTGATCAAGCTGTGTAGATCTAATACATTTGTGTGTTGAGAGTAGATTTCCTTCGTAACGCTGTCTTCTGTTGATGTTCAGATTACGTACAGAGACTAGAAATGTGATGCATTTTACATATTATTAAGGCTATGTAGTGTGGATTAACATCTGATTTACAGAGTCTCCTCTCTCTCTCTCTTTCTCTCTCTCTCTCTCTCTCTCTCTCTCTCCTTCCACCTTTCAAGGTATCTTTTGAGTTAGTGTTAAAGGCAATAATGAATTAAAGAATGAGTTGGCTAGTTTGTTTGAGTTTTGGTTGTTGTTTTTTTCGGGGGGGGGGGGGGGGCTGGGGAGTATAAGAGTTTAATATGTTCCTTAACTTGGATATTTCATTTCTCAAGGTGTAGCATTGGGCATGGTAACAAGTGAAAAAAGAGAGACACAGAGAGAAAGAGAGAGGGAAAGAGAGAGAGAAAGACATGTTAGATCTAAATAGTTTTAAAAACTCATCAGAAGTAAGAAATCTCTTTGTCTGGTTCGATTTTGTGCGTCTGGCGTGTGGTGAAAGTCTGTTGCTTGGGTCTGTTGTTATTGTTTTCATGTGTGTTTCTGTAAAGTAAAGCTATCCCTTGAGTTGATTGTTTTGTATATCAGAAACCATGGATGTGAGACCTACGTCAATTTAACAAAGCTAATTATGTGTCTTCCACTTCCAGTAACATTTTCCTAATCTGACGTTTATTCTTCGCACAGCAGGGTTGCCATTTTCTGAATTCCCCACAACGGGTTGTTTGGGGGGGCTTTTTTTTGGTAATGGATATAGTGACAGCTCGCCTGGTGTATAGCAATCACTCTGCGAAATGTTCATAATTCGCCACTCCTCGCCTGATGTATAGCAATCACTCTGCGGAATTTTCTTGATTTGCCACTCTATTGGTCCTCTTCTTTATCAGAAATGAAAGTCAGATCGGAGTTTCCTCTTGTTAAAGAAACGTGGCAGTCGAATCGCCTGTATGCTTCCCAGGAAGTTGAGGTTGTTTCAGAATGCTCTCAGGTCTGTTGGGGTAATAGAATAAATTGTGAAGCGCGTACAGCTTGCTGTTGAGCGGGGATTTGCGCTATACAAATGCGATATTATTATTATTATTTTTTTTTTTTTTTAATTTTTTTTTTAAAAAATTATTATTATTATTATTATTATTATTATTATTATTATTATTATAAGACAATATTGCTCCTCTTAACTCTTAGCAAATATGGTTCAGTGTGATCGAATCAAGTTTGATTCAGTCTGAGTGAAAGAGAAGTGCTCGTTTACGTTATAACGGCCATTTAGCGCCCTAATGAAGACAGACAGAAACAAGAAAGAGAAAGTAGGATCAGATCAGCCATGAGTGCCTCCCACCCCTATCCCCTCTTGCCCCCCCCCCCACCCCTCCCCCTCCCTCCCTATTGCCCCTGTCCACCCCCGCCTAAACCATCTTCAGTCAAAGTGTTCTCGCTTTGAATTTTCTGTACACTTTCATATCATGACTGCAATTATACTCCGACAAGTATTTTTTTATTCATACAACGCGGGCAAACTGTTCAACATGTTCTAACTCCACAAAGCTAGGCTAGATTTTTTCAAGAGAAAGAGAGGGCGGGGGGGAGATAAATAGAGAGAGAGAGAGAGAGAGAGAGAGAGAGAGAGAGAGAGAGAGAGAGAGAGAGAGCGAGAGAGGGGGGATAGATAGATAGAGTGAAAGAACGAGAGGGGGGGGGGGAGATAGAGAGATAGGGGGGGAGATAAAAAGAGAGAGGAAGAGAGAGAAAGAGGGAGACAGAAACACAGAGAGAGTGAGAGAGAGAAAGAGAGAGAGAGAGAGAGAGAGAGAGAGAGAGAGAGAGAGAGAGAGAGAGAGAGAGAGAGAGAGAGAGAACAACATGTTTCATTCTCTTTTAACAATTGTAAGTACCGCTACATAGATCAGGCCTACTTTTGGTATCTTTTCTTGCCTTTTTCAACATTAAGAATATGGATTTTAATTTTGAGGACACTTTTTTTAAAGGACATGCTACCATTACCACAGAACCCTGTACGGAAAATGTCATTTATCTTATCCTACCTTATCTGAAGAAACTACAATTCATTTGTGAGGCAGCGTGGTGAAATCAGGCGCTCGTCAAAATACAGAAAATCGGACAAACAGGCACTTTTTCCGCCAGTTTGGACATTTTTTTTTATCGAATTTGTATTTTTTGGCCCTACCTCTTTTATATCCATATAAAAACATTTCCCCACGTAAATTTTAACGGAAAATATTAATTAAAGGCTCAAAATAATATGTCATTTTTCTATTTTCAAGGACTCTTTAGCTATTGGAGTTACTTAACATTTGCGGCCATTTTCATGCTACTTTCATCACTGAAACCAGGCGACCTCACTT